GCCAGAGGCTACGGCAAGAGGAGTTGAAGCACAACGGCAGCCCGAGCCGGGTCCCCAGACGAGCTGCGCCCAACCGTGGCAACGAGGGGGCCCCCGAATGCCAACTACCGTTGCCTGAACTACCCCTCCTCTGACGGACCCGTCAATTGAGCGCATGCGCGCGACGCGTCGGGCAAAACGCCGCCCGCGCGCCTCGCGACGTGCGCAGCAAAACGGCCCACCTCTGCCGGGGGCGAGGCGCGCCGCAGACGGCCCCCACAGAGCATCCCCACTCGGAGGGACGCCTCCCGCCCCCGAGCCCAGAACCTGCTCGGCGCTCGCCCGAAGCGTCGCCCCTCCCTGGACACCGCGCCGACAGCATCCTCGCGCCGACGGAGAAGCTCAAGCCTTCGGGATCGAGGTTCGACGGCTTCGGGCATGTTCGTCTGTTCTCGGCGGCTTTTCAGCCTCGGGGCGCGTTCTGGCAGCTGCGCCTCGCCGAGACCCTTCTGGGGGTGCCCGAATCGTCCCGAACGGCCGCCTGAGGCCCGAACTATGGCCCGAAACATAAGCCTCCCGATGCGTGGGGTCCGAGTAGATGGGGTCAGAGGAGCGCGTCGCATCGCCGATGCGTCGGCAATGCGTTGGCGAGATCGGCGATGCATCGGCGACGTCAGACGATCGGGCCCCACATCGGGCCACATCGCCGATGCGGCGCGATCCTCCGACCCCATCCGCTCTGACCGCATCTGGGAGGCCTAGATTGAATTCCTTGCAAAGGGGGGGGCATCACCTCCGACTCTCAACCACCCTGCGCGGCTCCACCTCGGAATGTCGGCAAAATGTTGGCTGCCTAACTGCCTGCCAACGCCGCCACCACAAGACCATAAGACCAGAATATCGCACAATCGGAGCCCTAAAGCCAATCGTCCCGCGCCATTCCTCGAGCCACACCTTTCTGTGAGGGTCCCGGGGGCCGAAACGAGGCAAAAACGTCAATGGTGAAGCACTTGCATCGCCCAGATCTCAGGCATGGGCGCCTGAATCTGAGGGAAGCTCTGGGAACATGGGGGCGCTCCAGAAAGTAGAGCGGCCCAGGGGCACACGAATAACCAGACGCAACTCCCAGGATCCCCTAATAGTTTCACATATTTTATGGGTTTTCGTCTTCCCTCCCATTTCCCACATTTGCCCATATTATCCTGGAGATCGACGAGTCATGGTGTCTATGTTTGTTCCCCTCCTGAACCCTCCTGAAAGTGCGCAAGGGTATGCGAAGGGCGGCGTACAACCCCAAGCGGGCGAGCCACGAGCTAGACGAGGACATCAGCTACGAGCAGAAGGGATGGGATGTGTGACTGCTATACAAGAAAAACAGAAAACGCCATAAACATAAACTGTTTGGCGCTCCGCGCGGATTCCTTGGATCCGCGCTGGGCCCCCGAGCAAGGGGCGGCGGCGGAGGCGCCGCTGGGGGGGAACCCCGCACGGATCCAAGAAATCCGCGCGGAGCGCCAGAAAGTTTATGTTTATGGCGGTTTATTCTTCTTCTCCTTCGATGCTAGCGGGGATCTCGTGCACTGCCCATGCAAAAGAGGCACGAAGAGGCCAGGAAGGCGGCGACAACGGCGGCGGAAGCGGGCGGAAGGGCCCCGTCGGTCCGTCGGTCGGAAGGAGCGGGCAGAAGCATCCAGGAAAGGCGTTGGAAGTGCCTCGGATGTACGCCCCGCCCCCCTGAAGAGAAGGGAAGAAGGAAACCATTCCACCCTTGACGTAGCAAGGCGCCTGACGCAGGTTGGAAACTGGAGAACCAAACATACCTACTTTCAGCGACCACCGTGCGAACGAGGGCGCCTCCACGTGAACAGCGAGTCGGGGTTCTACGGAGATCCGTTCTTGCTGGAAACTAGGGCCTATGGGTGGCCAGATGGGCCCGAAATTTGGTGGTGAGGCTCATGAAGGGAATTCATTTCCATGGTCGCCTACGCTGCCAATTACAGAGCAACCGCAGTCCCAGTTCTCCCTGAAAGTTCCTCGAACATGACTTCTGCCCGTGATGTGTTGTTGGCATAAATCACTTACTTGTTTTCTGTTGGGATGCTGCTGCTCCACTACTTCGTCTGTGTCTCGTCCTGGCTCTTACGGTGATGTATTGCATTCGGCGGTCCCTGGCGCTAGTATTCGAGTTGGTAACATGGATCTACTGCTTATTCCTTTACTGCTTCGTTATGGCGCGTCGGTGCTCAACTGCCATTCTTGGGATAGACGCTTGGTCGGTGCTTCGGCTGCCCTTCATGGGATAGACACTTGATTTCGCAGGCCGGCGCGTTGCCCATGCTACTCGGATGGTCCACAGCCTCGGCAACGTCAACTGGTAGGAGTGACTCGCACTAGCCTGAGGCGGTCGCCGTCAGCAGTGATACAAAGCTGCCAGCCACCTCCCTCCTGTCCTTGGTCGCTCCCCCTCTTGGCGTCTGATGGCGTTCTGGTTCAGAGTGTTTTAAATCGAACTCGTTCGGGAAAGCTGAATTGCCGGTCTTGATTCCGACGGTCTTAGTTCGGGTGAACTTCACGGGACAAGGCCCGCCGCATAGCTGGAGGGCTATGTGGTGGCTGTTCTCGTCGTGCCGTCCCCTCAGAGGAGGGGGTGCTCGAGTGCAGGATCATGGTACTGTGTCCTTTCAGCGACTCGTCATCCCTGTCTCGGCGCATTCCCCCCCGTCAGGCTCCAGCACAATTCGAAGAGTATGGTATTGGCTTTCTGTGCCGTGGTATTCTTTGCTTTTAGTATTCTGCGAATCTGCTGCTCCGCGAATGCGGTTGTTCTTCATCGAACCCAATCGTAAGACATCCAGCCGAATCTTCCAGGGTGTAGCGTTGGAAAAAAAGGGAGTTACCCGTCGGTCGGAAGAAGTGGGTAGAAACATGAAGCAAAGGCGCTGGAAGCAGCTTGGATCTCCACCCCGCCCCCCGAAGAGGAGGGAAGAGGAACACCACTCCACCCTTGCAGCAGGAAGGCGCCTGCGATAGATGGGAATCAGGCAGGCCGAACCCAACTGCTTCCAACGACCACCCTGTCAACGAGGGCGCCTCCGCCAGCAGAGACCGGACCCGCCCTTCTGGACGCCCGAAATGGGTACGGAAAGAGAATGGGTACGATGCCCAACAACAAATGTTGTCCCAAACCAGCAGCGGCCGCTGTTGAGCAGGCGGCCTTCTGTCTCGAATGGACACAGGCCGCGGCGGCGTGGACAGCGAGTCCTGTTCAGAACGAACAGGAACTGTTGCTGGGCATTGTACCCATTCTTTCCGTACCCATTCCGGGCGTCCAGATCCCTCTTTGCCACGCGCGCCCAGGCGCGTCCGCCCCGGCTAGCTCATGCGCGCCGCCGCCGCGCGGGCCCGCTTCCGCGGGGGCTCCTCGCCGCGCCGCGCCGAGACCTCCAGAGGTCGCCCGGGCCCGTGGCGGCGGCCGACGTCGTCGCGCCGCGGCCTCCGTCGTCGTCGTCGTCGTCGTCGCAACGTCGACGTCGCGTCGAGGCGTCGTCCGTCGTCGTCGTGGCGCGGTCCGGGGTCGTCGTGGCGTCGTCCGTCGTCGTGACGTCGTGACGTCGTGACGTCGGCCCTCCTCGTCGTCGTCATCTTGACGTCGTCATCTTGACGTCGTCTGTCGTCGTCCGTCGTGACGTCGTCCTGGTCGTGGTGAAGTCGGTCGTCGCAGTCGTCGTCGTCGGCGGCGTCGTCGTCGCCCGTCGTCCGCCGTCGGCGTGGCGGCGAGCACAAGCGCTGCCTTGGCCACCAGAATGCCACCGCCGTGGCCGATGCGTCGTACAGACACGGCGGCTCCGATTCGGATGGAATCTGTTCCTCCGCTTCTTCCCTTTAACTACTCCAGATTTCGTAATAAAAGGGAGGGGGTCTCAACCCTCCCAGACGACCCCCCCCCGTGGGAGAACCCTCCAAAACATCGTCCCCAGACCCCCCCAGGCCCTCCAAGATAGTCTGGAAGAGACCCCCCCCGAAATGAGACCCCCCTCCCTTTCTTACGAAATCTGGAGTAATGTTCCTCCGCTTCTCTCCCTTGTAACTAACCAGAACCACGCGCGCTTCGCGCGCTCAGGTTCCCACGCAATACAGGTCAACTCATCGACACGGTGGGTGCGTATCGCCGCGTCCGTCTTGCGAGTGCTTCGAACCATGCGAAGTGTTCTTCGCACTCCTCCTGCTACTCGCCCTCCCCAATCTCTGTTCCGTCTCCTCCCCTCTCTGCTTCCCCCTGCCTCTGGCGCATCCCTTGCACCTGCTGTCCCTCCCGTCTCGCTCTTCTCTCCTGTCTGCTGCGTCCCTCCTGCTCTCGGGTTCCCGTGGATTCATGTTTGGACCATCCTGCACGTTGGGAGAGAAGAAGCGAGGTCTTCAGGAACCGATTGCCTTCCGTAGGCCGTTGAAGGATTTGCGCTCCGTATAGGGGCCTCTAGAAGGCCCCCTGGAAGCCTCTCGAGGGCCTCTTGGGGGCCATATCGTGATGCCCTGGCCGTCTGGGGACCATGTTGGGTCGTCCTGGTGGCCTCAAGGGCCGTCTTGAAACCATCTCGAATCGTCTCGGGGCCATCTTACAGGGTCCCGGGGACCCAGGTCGACTGTCTGGCGGGGTCCTCTGGCGCGCTTGACCTGTCCGACGCTTTCGGAGGCCGTCTGCCTGGGGGGAGCTCTGGGAAGCCTCTGGAACCGTTTTTTGCTCTGGACCGCTCTTGGGACCGTCGTGTGGCCTTGCGGGGCCCCTCTTGGGGCACGCTTCGGCCATTGACGACCAGCCAGAAGCCCCAGGAGCTCATCAGAAGCGAAGAAGAGAGATCTTTAAGAACAAATGCTCTCCTATGGTTGTTCACTGATTTGGGCATCTCGGGGCCCTCTTGGAAACTTCTTGGGTCCAGAATCCTTGAACAAACAAGCGCGGAAGATCAACAGAGTTTGCCTCTGGAGGCTCTTTCGCAGGCCCTGTTGGACCCGCCCGCGCGGTCCTTGTGGCCTCTTCTGGCCAGCTTGTAGCAATCCAGGAGCCTCTTTGGCCGAAGTTGTTCACCTTGGCGACCTCGTGACGCCCACGGGGGCTGTCCTGTGGGTCTCCTGGATAATCCTCCAAACTCTGGTGCGCGTAATTCGGGCGGCGGGAATTCGGAATAGTGGGGGCCGCCGCGCCCGGGGGACCGGTCGCAAGTTATACTTTGTTGCATTTGTGTGTGTGTGTGGGAACCAAGATCTACATGCATTGTCTCCCGCCCGTCGCAACACTGGACGTGTCCGTACAGACCGGGCCAGGGCTTTGGCTCGATACGGGCAGACGAGCGCGGGAGCTTCTCAGGGCTCGCGGCCTGGTCGATTGCATGATGTGGTCTTCGGCCGGGCGGCGCGCACACCCGTCCCTTCAAGGACGGTGGGCTGGCCGTTCTCCAACACCGGCCCTCGCCCCAGCGCCGCCCAATTGCGGAGGACAGTTGCAGGATTCGGCCCGACCTACAGAGCGATGAATCGGAAAAAGAAGCCCCTTTTTCCCAAGTAAGTCCACGAAGTCCGAGGGAACGGACCCGCGCGTCCAAAATTTGAAGGGACACCAGGGGGCTCGCCTCCGAAAAGGTAGGGCACGCATGCAAACAAAAAGAAAAGACCGAACCCCTTTTGAAAAGTACGTGTTTCTCATGAATGCCGGATCCTGTACTGCAACTTCAGTCATGGAGGGCCAGCGGTTTTCAAAATGCAGTACTCGCCCGAGCGCTGCGCGCAAGCGTCTTGAAAGAGTGCGGCATTCTCAAGGGTGGCGGCCGAGTCGTTTTCGACGTGGCTTTCGCATTCGCGCCGCGCGCACTCGTCTGAAAAGTGTGCGTGCCAGCTACCCGGCCTCCTCGTCCTCCCGCTCGGCCTCCTCCTCGGCCTCCTCCACCTCCTCCATCCCGTTGTTTTACGAATCCCCCGTCCCTGCCGCATACCCAGACGTGTTGGTAGTGCGGGCTGGGCGTTTTGCAGGAGACATCCTCACTATGTATATGCTCGTGACGCTTGCAATGTTTCACAGCTTCCAGGATGTAGGGCGGGCCATTCTCAAAATGTGGCTCTCGCTACAGCGCCGCGCACACTGCTCCTAGCAATTTTCAGGAGCTTCGAGGATACAGGGCGGACCGTTTTCAGCATGCGGTTCTCGCCTGAGCGTCCCCGCAGATTCGTCTGAAGAGTCCGCAGCAGTTCCAACGATGGAAGGCGGGTCCCTTTCAAACTGTGACTCTCGCCATAGCGCCGCGCACAATCGTCCTTAAACGTGCAAGTGTTTCAAGGATAGAAGGCGGCTCCTTTTCAAAAGAAGCACTTGCCTTAGCGCAGCGCGCACTCGTATTAAAGTTCGCTGCAGTTCCAAGGATTCGAAAGTGAGGTGCCAGGAATGGCGCCCTGGCACGATTGAGGACTGCAAGACCGCAACGATCACGCTGATTTGCGGCATTGAAAACCCCAAGAGAAGATTCTGACACGATGAAGGATTCTCAAACGGCTGCCTTTCAACGGGGCACTTGCTGCAGTGAAAATCCGCCGCCATGCCTCGAGGCACGAAGACAGTTTAACCCCCCAGGCCCCAGGCTCTCATGTGTTCTCTGTTCTCTGCACTCAGGACTGTGGAGTGAGTTATAGTATTCTAAAAGGGGGGGGGGGCAAACATCTCAAATTTCCTTGGCGCCCCCGAAGGCTGCTGGGCTGGCTCGCGTAACTTTCACAGAGGCAAGGGGGCCTCAAGGCGGGCCAGGAGGGCCCCAGAAAGCGCCCAAGAGGGTCCAAGAGGCCTCCACGACAGCCCAAGATCGTTTTAAGAAGACCCACAAGGGGGCCCAAAGAGGCTAACAGCAGTGCTTGCCTTTGTGCTTGTCAAGGTATTTCGTGCTCTCACATGTTCGGGCTTCCGACGCTCTAAGATGGCCCCAGGGGCTCCCAAGACCGACCCAAAACCGCCCAAGAGGCCCCTTAAGAGGGCCACAGGACGGTCCAAGAGGGCTTCAAAACGGCCCAAGAGGCGCTCACTATCGCCCAAGAGGACCCCAAAAGAAGCCAAAGAGGGGGATCACGAACTGACAATTTGAGCCGTCCGCCCACAAAGACCCCCAGGAGGCCCCAAGAGGCTCCCAAGAGAGCTCAAGAGGCCCCCCAGAGGCCCCAAAGAGGCCCCAAAAGAGGCCCCAAAAGAGGCCCCAAGAAGCCCCAAAACGGCACCCGAGAGGCCTCAAGGCTGCCTCCAAAAGGCCCCCGAGAAGTCTCTCACGATATCCAAGCGAACATCCAAAAGGTCTCTAACGCACAACCCGGGAACGGGTGGCGAGATGGGCCAAAGGCAACTAGATAAGACATCGGTGTAGGGACGCAGTGCCGAGGGAACATCGACGGAAGTCATTATTGCAACATCGCTGATGGTTCTCGGGTTTGAACTGATACTCCTCTTTTTTTGATGTTGGCCATATTCTAAGCGTGATGTTCGCACCGCTCGTTTGACACAAGTGCAGAACAAATAAGCCGACTCAGCACAGCGTTGGACAAATGAAGGCGAATTATGCGGCAGGCCCGCGCGGAGCAAGAATGATCTTCTTCTTCCTCCTCCTCCTCCTCCTCCTCCACCTCCTCCTCCTCCTCCTCCACCTCCTCCTCCTCCTCCTCCTCCTCCTCCTCCCTCTCCTCCCCCTCTTCACCGTCCTGCCGAAGCTTCCTCCTGCCGCCTCCCCACCTCGTCCCTCTCCTCCTCCACCTCACCACCTCCTCCTTCTTATCAACAAGTCCACCCTGTCGCATGCCCAGGCGTGTCGGTAGGGCGGGCTGACTTCCTCACCACCTACGATCCCGAATCTTGCAGATTGCAACAGCTTTAAGGAAGGCCGTTTCGTTCTCCTCCTCCTCCTCCTCCACCTCCACCTCCTGCTCTCCCCCTCGTTCTCCTCCCCCCTCTTCCTCCTCCGAATGCCTGCCTCCTCATCTGCCTGCCCGCAACCTCCTCCTGCTCCTCCTCCTCCTCGTGCTCCTCCTCGTACTCCTCCTCGTGCTCCTCCTCGTGCTCCTCCTCGTGCTCCTCCTCGTGCTCCTCCTCGTGCTCCTCCTCGTGCTCCTCCTCGTGCTCCTCCTCGTGCTCCTCCTCGTGCTCCTCCTCCTCCTCCTCCTCCTCCTCCTCCTCCTCCTCCTCCTCCTCCTCCTCCTCCTCCTCCTCCTCCCCTCGTGCTGCTGCCCCTCCTCTCCCGCAGCCTCGCCTTCAGGCGGCCCAGGCCGTAGAACGCCGCCCCGGTCGCGTGCACCTCCGCCGCGGGGGCGGGGGGGCAGGCCGCCCGCCCCCGGCCCTGAGGCGGGCAGGCTGCGCCGACATCGCTGGCGATGTCTCGAGAGGCGCAACGCTGGGAGGGTGGCGAGGGCCGAGGGCCCTATGGGACCCGCTGCCCTCAGGCTCGAGCTCAGTCACAGAGGAAGAAAACGGTCTGCACAAACAGGCGACTTCCAGAGGCCCGCGCGGCAATGCAGCGTTGGAGCCCCCTGGCGGCCCCCCTGGCGCCGCCCCCGGCGCGCCGGGGAGTGGGGCCCAGCGCCGCTCCGAGAAGGCCGCGCGGAACCTCCAACAGTTGATGCTGACGTTTTGTTCCTCTTCGACGCACGCCTCCCGCGGTCGTTCGCTCTCTTGAGGGGCAAGACAAGAGTAGGGGTGAGCTGGCTCAGGGTGGGAAACGTCGGCCTGGCTTCGGCGAGACACCGCAGCCAGATCGGCGATAGGCCCCCGCTAGCAAGGCCGCACGGTCCTGGGCGGCGCCGGGCTAACGGGCCCCTTTGTCGGCGATCCATGGGCCCGTGAGTCTACACTGCCCCTGACTGGCGGCGCGCACAAGGGGGCAGGGCGGGGGAAGGCTTTTTAGAAGTAGGCTGCTTCGCAGAAGGCGCCGGCTCTGAATCGAAAAGTAGGGAAGGTCCGCGCCCTCTTAGGAAGCAGGGGTGCTTCTAAGAAGCGCTCCCCTATCCCCATGTGCGCGTGGCTGACGTTAGGTTTGGGTCGGGCATGTCCTCCTGCAGGCGGATGTTGGAAGAGACATGCCAACTAGTCAATCCATACTCAACCATGGCCCAAGCCAACACATACACAAAAAAAACGTTGCCAGACTATTTTTACCATGTGCGAATATTCCTCCCGTCGAGGGGCACGCCCGACTTCACCTGAGGTTGCCCCCGACAGGGAGAGGGTGCGCTCTCGACGAGCGACTCGCGGCCGGGTACGCGGGCTCGACACGGCCAGCCGAGGCGGGGCAGGCCGAGACGGCGTTGCACGTGGGGGTCCACAGAGGAGGCCAGTCCACTCCACGAGAGGCCCAACCCTGAGACCCAAGGGCGTCCACCAGGGGGGGAGGGAGGCCGGAACGCAACTCGGGGGGCGATAAATACGCCGGGCCGGCGCGCAACACCCGCGTCGGCCAGGACCCTGTCGCGAGGCCCGGCCTGCCGCGTCGTGGCTCCCGGGCCCGGGTCAGCGGGTGCCGGCTGCGCGCAGGAGTGACCTTAGGCCGGGCATGTTCCCCTAATGTGTCAAAACTGCTTTATAAACATTAGTTTGGGGAGACAGTGAAAAAATGGTTTTCCCCAGCGCTGTACACCACGCGAAATGGTTAAGAAATCATGGGTTCAGAAATTCATGGTCTCGCGCCGGCAGGTTTGTTAATTATCATTAAGAAATATCGAGGGTCTGGCCCGGGGGCTCGGTATGTGCATGAATGAGGGCCCGAGCCCAACCCAAGTGGGGCCCGAGCCGAATCCAAGTGGGGCCCGAGCCGAATCCAAGTGGGGCCCGAGCCGAATCCAAGTGGGGCCCAAGTGGCGCCCGAGCCGAATCCAAGTGGGGCCCAAGTGGGGCCCGAGCCCAACCCAAGTGGGGCCCGAGCCGAATCCAAGTGGGGCCCAAGTGGGGCCCGAGCCGAATCCAAGTGGGGCCCAAGTGGCCCGAGCCCAACCCAAGTGGGGCCCGAGCCGAATCCAAGTGGGGCCCAAGTGGGGCCCGAGCCGAATCCAAGTGGGGCCCAAGTGGGGCCCGAGCCGAATCCAAGTGGGGCCCAAGTGGGGCCCGAGCCGTGGGGCCCGAGCCGAATCCAAGTGGGGCCCAAGTGGGGCCCGAGCCCAACCAAGTGGGGCCCAAGTGGGGCCCGAGCCCCCCAAGTGGGGCCCGAGCCGAATCCAAGTGGGGCCCAAGTGGGGCCCGAGCCGAATCCAAGTGGGGCCCAAGTGGGGCCCGAGCCCCCTCCAAGTGGGGCCCGAGCCGAATCCAAGTGGGGCCCAAGTGGGGCCCGAGCCGAATCCAAGTGGGGCCCAAGTGGGGCCCGAGCCCCCTCCAAGTGGGGCCCGAGCCGAATCCAAGTGGGGCCCAAAGTGGGGCCCGAGCCGAAGTGGGGCCCAAGTGGGGCCCAAGTGGGGCCCGAGCCCCCCAAGTGGGGCCCGAGCCGAATCCAAGTGGGGCCCAAGTGGGGCCCGAGCCGAATCCAAGTGGGGCCCAAGTGGGGCCCGAGCCGGGGCCCGAGCCGAATCCAAGTGGGGCCAAGTGGGGCCCGAGCCGAATCCAAGTGGGGCCAAGTGGGGCCCGAGCCCCCTCCAAGTGGGGCCCGAGCCGAATCCAAGTGGGGCCCAAGTGGGGCCCGAGCCGAATCCAAGTGGGGCCCAAGTGGGGCCCGAGCCCCCTCCAAGTGGGGCCCGAGCCGAATCCAAGTGGGGCCCAAGTGGGGCCCGAGCCGAATCCAAGTGGGGCCCAAGTGGGGCCCGAGCCCCCTCCAAGTGGGGCCCGAGCCGAATCCAAGTGGGGCCCAAGTGGGGCCCGAGCCGAATCCAAGTGGGGCCCAAGTGGGGCCGAGCCCCCTCCAAGTGGGGCCCGAGCCGAATCCAAGTGTGGCCAAAGTGAGGCCCGAGCCGAATCCAAGTGGGGCCCAAGTGGGGCCCGAGTCCAACCCAAGTGGGGCCCGAGCCGAATCCAAGTGGGGCCCAAGTGGGGCCCGAGCCCCCTCCAAGTGGGGCCCGAGCCGAATCCAAGTGGGGCCCAAGTGGGGCCCGAGCCGAATCCAAGTGGGGCCCAAGTGGGGCCCGAGTGCAACCCAAGTGGGGCCCGAGCCGAATCCAAGTGGGGCCCAAGTGGGCGCCCACACGACCCCAAGAAGGCATCAAGCTTAAGAAAGTTCCCCAGGGTCTGGCCAGCGCCGGTGGTTTCTTCAGCCGTGTGTCTGGGACAAGAAATTTCGAGACTCTGGCTGCAAAACTGTGTTTTCTTAAACATCGAGCGTGGTGTAGTGCGCCTACAAAAAACAAAAGGGAGCCGGGACAAACTGGATCGCTGGAGACGTCCCCGCGACCGCCCTGGATCGCTGAACGAATACTGAAACAAAAATTAAAAACAAAAGCCAAAATCCAAAATAGTAGAAAAAAGATCGTCCCCATACGATGTTGTTAACGATGTTTGGAGATTCCTCCTGTAGAGGGACAGGCCGACTTCAGAGTAACCCTGGGTAAGCGTGACCTTTGCTGCGCGGCTATTGCGGGGCCGCGGGGGGCCCAAGCACCAGCGCGCACGACGCTGTTACCGAACCGCGCTCGGCCATCGGGGCGCCCCTGGGGGCCCGCACCAAAAGGTTCCTCTGGCGAAGGGTCACTCTTACGTGCAGTCGAGGCTGGCGGGGAGGGTTGGCGGCGCGCACAAGGGGGTGGGGGGAGGGGAGAGGGCTTCTTAGAAGCAGGCTGCTTCTTAGAAGGCGCCGGCCTTACATCTGTAGATAAGGCCCGCGCCTTCTAAGAAGTAGGGGTGCTTCTAAGAAGCCCTCCCCCCGCCCCCCACCCCTCTCTGCGCGTGGCGGAGAGGGAGCATCGGCCCCCCGTGGCTCCCAAGCCAGGTCCGCCAGAGCGGCTCGGCTGGCCCCCGTTCGCCGACCCTCGAGAAGCCCACGAGCTTCGGGCCTCCCGGCGTCGTCTCTGGGCTTCAGGCCCGTCGCGGACCGCCCCATGGGCCCAGACCCCCGACGTCATGATTTTTGTCATGGCGTCGACCCCCAGAAATCTCGACCCCCAGAAATCTCGACCCCCAGAAATATCGAGCCGTTTTCTGACGGTCCCGCGGCCCGGTCAGGGCCCCGAGAGGCCGGTAATAGCGAGAAACCTCCCGTCGGGATGCTTTCATGCCTCGAGGGGGGGTCTTGGGGTCTTGCGCCTCGTCGCCTCCTCATCCACTCCCCCCCTTGGCTGCCTCTCCCCGCACGCGCTCTCTCCTCGCCTGGCTCCCCAACGGGGACCCCTGGCCCACAGGAGTCCAGCTGGAGACGCTCTCGGGGGCCCCAAAATGTTTTCGTCCGCCTTCGCGCCGTGCTGTCTTCGCGCCGCGCTGTCTGAGATCGCTGAAGCTTCTACCCGAGGGAACCAGACATTTACTTGTTTTAGTCGCGGCCCTGACGGGGGTTATGTATGGGGAGCATAACGTAGCGCCCCCCCCCCAATGTGGTGCTGGACGCACTGCGGCAGTGCCGGAGACGCACTGAGGGGGGAACATCACGTTCTGGGAGGGGGGACGCGGGAGGGAAGGGGGCGTAACGCGCTGTATGGACCAAAGGGTAAGCAAAAGCACTCTCCAGCACGGAAATGGTAGGTCAAAGGCCTGCTAATGAGACCCCCGTATCGATTGCTTACCCGGGGCTTCCTGTAGCATCTTCGAATGACCTTGTCTGTCCCATCGCGTCGCTATTCCCAACCAATCCGAATCGAATCAACGTCAAATCCGAGACTCCATGACGAATCCGCGTCGACTCCGAGTCAAATCCGCGTCGAATCTGCGTCGAGCCCACGTCGAAGAAATTAATTCAGTTTCAGGGACAGACGAGACACGAGGACCCCAGACGATGCCATGCAAAGGACTTCAGCTGAGTGCCTGCAGAGAGCAGGCGCAAGAGACTGGGACCTTCGGCTCAGTGATGGTCATCGCGACCGTCCCCCTCCCGATGTTGTACGAGCTCAGCCTCCCGCGCAGGTGCAGCTGCCACAACTCGGGCACCCTCGCCAGCTCACCCGCGAACGCGCTGCGGAAGTGCACGCGCACCTGGCCGGGCACCGGCTGCGAAGGGAGCGGAGCCCGGCGCGGAGCGGCGCACCGCCGGTGCGATGGACCCCCCGGCCCTGCAGGGGCAGCGCGGGCGGGCGGGCAGGGGCCCGAGTGGGAGCCGGGTGGGAGCTGGAAGCAAAAGAAGCGAAGACCGTGGGCAAAGAGCTGCATCCATCTCGGGTGCGTCTCGGGTTTCCTTGGAAGGGGCGCAGCAAGGCCGAGGCGCACTGGATATGGGCATACATCGAGCCTCTGGGGGCAGACTTTTCCACATCCAATGCGCCTCGGGCTTCTGGTGAAGGGAGCCCGAATCTCCAATCTGCAGATGACATGGACGAAAACATCACCGTCAAGACGGGTGCCGGAATTGGGCAGACAGGAGTCGGAGTCTGAGCATAAGAACGGAAGTCGAGCCAGCGGTGACCGCAGAGAATGGCGTGGGCAGTGAGCTGCTTCGATTGGCAAAAACACGATCCCCATTGGGAGCAACCCTCCAACAACCGCTCCACCCTCGAAAGGCAGAGATACAAAGAAGAGGTCAAGGGCGAGGAGGCGAGAGGGCAAGAGACCCCAAGGATGATCCGTGAGGGAAGAACATCCGAGGAATACGATGTGAAGCATGGATGAGCCACGAATGGCATGACCACGAACTTTTTCGGCGGTCCGCGAAAATTCCTGGGATGGGCGCTGGACTCCGCCTCCCTGGAGGCTGTCTTTTTGAGGTCCAGCGATCGCCGGGCGGCTGTTCGGGCTCGCCCCCCCCCCCGCCCACGCCCGATAACCTCACCCTGTTGGTTGAGCAGGTCCGGAGGGGGGGGGGGGGGGGGGGGGGGGCAGGCAGGGGTCTCATGCGCCGCGCCCGCGCATCCCCATGCCTGCTGTCCAGACATATCCTCAGGTATTCCCAGGCGGTGCCCGCCTCGGCGCAGCCAGAACGGCAGCATCCGTCGAGGCATCGTTCGCAGCCGTGGCGGCCGCGGCCCTGGTGCGCGCGGGTATCCCACAGCGCGAAGGTAAATTTTAACGGGCGAAGAACGGCGTAAAATAATTTGTTTCGCTGTCGGGGGCGCCTGTCCCAGGGCGGCTGGAAAGTTTATACTCTTACGGTGGCACCGTAGCGGGATAAACTTTCCAGCCGCCCAGGGGCAGGTGTCTCCGACGGCGGGAAGTTAATTTTATACCGTTCTTCGCTCGCTGATAATTCGGTTCTCGGCCGCCCCCTCCCCCACCCACCAGATGACCTGGGTTACCGCCGATCCAGGGACAAGTCTCGTGGCGCGCGGAGCGCGCCATGGGGCGGCACCAGAGGCGCCGCCAGGGTGGGCACAGCGCAACTCCGAGAAATTCGGCGGTGGACAAACCTCCCTTTAGTATACCCCCCCTTAGTGAAAACGGCCTGGGATCGAAACCGACGGACCTAGACCCGCAAAAATGACGGCCGCGACGCCCTCTCGCGAACCGATAACGGCCAATTCCTCAATCGACGTGTCAGGGTAGGAGGCCTGTCCACCCCCGAGAAATCCGGCGCGGAGGGACAAACCGAACGAACGAAGCTGCCGTCGTTGGGGAGGTGCGGCGCCCCTGCGGGGGCAGCAGGAGCGCCAGTAGCACGCAAGCCCTCCGCGCAAAGGCCAAGCAGTGCGGGATCGCGCCGGTCAGCGCCGAGCGTGCTGTACAACATCTAAAACGACGCGAAGATCGGGACAAAATCGGATCGGGATAACTCGAAATCTCTGAGAGTCGGCGGGTCTGGAGGATGTATTGGGCGCCGCGGCCGCTCCAGAGCGTTCCGGAACGCTCCGAGAGCGCTCCGGAACGCTCTGGAGCGATTTATCCCGATCCTAGCCCTGTTTTAGTGCATGCATGCCGGAGAGGTCCAAGAAGTCCGGCCAGAATGTTGAACATCCGATGCCAATGTCTCCTCCCACCTGCTCGAAGGACGATGGCTCAATTCGCGATGGCTCGAAAGCGCTAGAAGCAAGCGAGGCTACCCACGGGCTAAAGCAGAGTCCCGTGCGAGCCAGCCTTTTGGTCACAAAGTGCTCGCACTTTCGCATTCGGAGACAAACATCGTCATCGTCATCGTCATCGTCATCATTATCGTCGTGTCTCTTCCCACCTGCTCGAAGGACGAAGAAGAGGAGGAACACGATGTAAAGCAGGGAGTGCAAGCGTGCTGTAGCACGACGCGGCTGTGGCGCCGCGCGGCTGCCAGGCCGCTCGGGGCATCTCGGTCGCCTCCGGTGGGGCATTCGTGTGCCGAGGGGCCTTCGAGGGCACCTTCCTGGGGCGATCTGCGGGGGACCCTGCTGTTGCTTTCGAGCGGGACGACGTCCTGGTTCTCGGGGAACTTCGGGGCCCCAAGGCCATGCCGTAACAGCCTGTGCGGCAGACTCGAGATCGCACGAGGCGTCACCACACGGTCCGTCACCGCACGGTTTTGACCTGGCCTCAATCGCCCGGGACATCCTCGCAGAGCGCCGCGAATCACAAAACCATGAACTCATTTCGAATCCCCACTGACTCACCACACGGTGTGGTCACCACACCATTTGTGGACCCATGCAAACGTTTTTAGGATCGCTCGCATGTCAATCGGAGTCAGTGCCAACAGGGAGCGGCACCCGCTGATAAATCAAATTGGTTGCTGCGACTGGGCCAAGTTCAATGACGGTGCGGCGGTGCACTTCGGCCTGAAAGGAGGCCTCCCAAATGGGGTCCGAGTGGATGCGGTCAGAAGATCGCTCCGCGTCGCCGATGCATCGACGATGCGTCGGCGACGTCGGCGGTGCATCGGCGACGCCGGCGTGGAGAAAATCGGGTTCCACATCGCGCCGCATGGTGGATGCATCGGCGATGCGGCGCGATCCTTCGACCCCATCCACTCGGACCCCACTCAGGAAAACCAGCAGGTATCGATACCTCTCCCAGGGTGCGTTCTGACTAGAATTTCGAGGCGAGTCCAGCGATGGCGACGAGGGCCCCCCAACAGAAACGACAAAACGAGGGCAGGGTAGAGGTATGGATACATTTCCCCCTCCGACCATTTGGGTCGCGGTGCACTTGGGCCTGAAGCGACACGCGGAGGAGGGCCCAAACCAACACAAGATCTGGCGCTGACCCCCTGCTCTAGGTCGGGCATGTCCCCGTACAGGCGGATGTTGGGCAAAACCATCAAAACGTAAAACATATATTCATCGTGAAAAATCAAACAGTAATTAAACCTGGTCAAACAATACTAGAAAATTCGTCCCCGAAAAATGTCTTTGACTAGTGTTGAATACTCCTCCTGTAGAGGGACACGTCTGACTTCAAGCTCGGGCCGATACCCACCATGCCAAATCATCCCCACGCGCGGGGGCCTCTCGGGGGCCACGGGGCTCCTCCGCGGGGGGCACCCTGCAGGAGCCGGATGACGAGAGGAGAGATTGGGGGGAGAGGGCGGGGGTGGCGGATAAGAGTCCCGCCCCTCCAGACCCGACTCGCCAACTCTGCATACCCCGGCCGACAGATCTCCAGGTCAACCAAGAATCCCAGAGACTTCTGCCCGTGTGAGAACGACAGAACATACCTAACAGCGAAGGACATGAGAGATAATACCATGACAGAACAGAGAATAATTCGGAGGCAACTCATGGGAGCCTCCCATACCATCTTGTCGGCTCTTGAGAATCGACGCCAAGCGACGCTAGCCGACGCTTATCGACGATACATCGACGCTAGCCGACGCTAAACCGCCGCTAAAGATCGACTCCAGAGGGTATACCAGGCCCCCATGATTTACAACCGAAGAATCACAACTGAGCATCACACGACAGAGCAGAGCATGCCATCTCATCACATAACAAAACATACCATGTCACAACAACGCACACTGTGACAGGGCGTACCATACCGAACATGGCATAGCATCACACGTAGTATAACATCTATATATATATATATACATATATATATATAGATATCATAACATTACGCAAGGGAAGAATTCCAATCAGAGTATTGAAACTTGGTGATCTATTTATTTAGATCGGTGTTTTCGATCGATCATGATTGGGGGAACAACAGAGTCAGAGCCGAACATACCAGAGCATGACGGGACAGGGTATGACATACCACAGCGAGCCATGAAAGAGCATGTCAGTAGATGACAAACAATACCACGAGTCAGCGCGGCATACCATGTAATACGATTGTATGAGACCATATACTACCACATATCACCAGAATGCAACATAACATAACATGGCATACTATATCACTATACCGATCATGCAACAACAACAACTAATCGTATGACATGAAACAATATAACGGAATATATCATAGTAACTCCAAGCGGTGAAAGGCAATACGTAACGTAAGAGTTCGATGGCCATGGCAACACATGTAATAGCACGACACAGGCTGCTAAGCAGTGAGAAGACACACCACGCTTTGTTATGGCATATTTGAATCTAGTCATCAGAGCACAATGTCAACATTGTACAATATCTATCGCTACCACTACGACTGAACACATGATATAGCGGTGCCGACTATATCATAGATGGAAAATAGATCATGACCTGAAGAGAGCATACAAAACGAAATGAACATGGTACAGCGTAACACAATAATCCTATATATTACAACATACGGGCCCAACGTGACACACTAATTCATCACATGACAAGGCTGCACGTCACATAGTGCTCTGCAACACAACAGAAGGACGTACCGCTGAAGGGGAACATCATAACAGCATCGACCGTTTCGAAATTTGAATCAGATGCGACGAGCGCGACGAGGTCACGTTGACCATGGGAACAAACAAACGTTCCACCGGCCGTTTGGACGACGTGTATATCCAACGTGACAAGCGTCACGGCATCAAGCCAGCCCATCGAGATCACAACCGAGCATAGTACAGCACATCCGACCAGGACATGATGGAATGTAGTATAGTTGAATCCAGTCAATCACAGCAACGAAAAATGAAGTGCGCCCTGTCAAACGCAGCATCCACGCCGACGTGAGGCTGGCGACGGGACAAAAACAGGTGTACAACAAAACCCATTATACTACACATCAAACGTGGCAGGCATCACGGCGTCACGCCGCCGCGTCGAGAGCAGAATCTGACAACCCACATGTGCATACAATAGAAAACAACCTAACAGCACGTCACAAGACATGATAAAGCAGAGGTTAAATACTGCCGTCCTATCATATGAGACATGCGATATACATCGTGTGAGTGCGTATGTGTACATCTCTATGTGTATATATATATACATATGGATTCGTTCCGCATCTGTTAACCCACTTCGACATTATCAAACACATGTCCGCCCAAAGACTCCGGGGGAACATCCGCAACATAATGAACGACCAAGACACAACCTGGATTTCAAGAAAGCAAATCAAGGATTCCCAACAAACATCAGACGCCAGCCGGACACAGACCCTTAACCTATAAGATCAACGTCTGGGAAACGCGACAATAGCATCGATGGTTGCTTCAGACAAACATTGATGGTTGTTTTAGGTCTATGTTTCTGGAAGCGATTTCCATAAGTTCGAACATAGCAGCGGTGATTTCTCTAAAGAGCAATTCTGTATCCCGAAGAATCCGATGGTGGAACATCAGAGGAAGGGCCCGGGGGCCTCTGATCAAGGAGGGGTCCCCGAATTTGCTGGCCTTATTCCCGACCGCTGGATGGGCGTCACGACCAGGGGAGATCTCGTGCACCGAGCTTCGCGTGTATGTCCTGCTGGGGCAAAGGACGTCCTCCTCTGGACGTCCTCGTGCACCATGTGATGCCTACCCCTGGGGCCCGAAATTCGTGGTGATCTGCCAGGCTAAACTAGGCGTGAACATCGTAAGGTGAAGGTGGAGGCAGTGTGAGTCCAGCACGCATCAAACAAACCTTTGGAGCGAAGGATCATCCATTCTTGATCTGCCGAACATCGCCGGAGCCACGTCTTCCGACATCACGCCAATCATCGCAGGCAACTAATACTGACAACACCGAGGAGGGATGCCAAATAGATGTTTCGCCGCCGGAAGCGCTGTTCCCCCCCCTCCCTTGGGAGAGGACGGGGGGGAGGGGCCCCTCTTTCTTAACTCCGGGGCGAACGTCAGAAGAATCGGTATACCCCTGCCTTTGGTGTCTGCTCCATGGGAAACCACGCGGCCCCAAGGGCTGTCCGGTTTGGGACTGATTTTGACCGGATTTGGAACGCATTTTGGAATGGACTTGGGCCCGACTCGCCCTTCACAGGGGACGACGAGAAGAACGAGGATGGGGAGGACGAAAAGGAAAGGCGAGGAGGATCAGGAGGAAGGGCCACATGCGGTCCAAATGCGGTCCACATGCAGGAAAAGCTGATTGCAATGTTGCCGCCCAAGGCTCCCATGAGCAGACATCGAACTTTCGTCCTCCGAGAAACGCCGACCATCGTGCGGGGCCGAGGCGGCGACCTGCTCTTCCTCTCCCTTGTCCTGCTCGTCCTCCTCCTCCTCCTCCTCCTCCTCCTACTCCCCCCTCCTCCCCCTCCTCCTCCTCCTCCTCCCCCTCCCCCTCCCCCCCCCTCCCCCTCCCCCCTCCCCCTCCCCCTCCCCCCTCCCCCTCCCCCTCCTCCTCCTCCTCCTCCTCCCTCCTCCTCCTCCTCCTCCTCCTCCTCCTCCTCCTCCTCCTCCTCCTCCTCGTGGCTCCCGAACGTCGCGCGGGGCCGAGGCGGCGACCTGCTCGGCCTCCGCCTCGCTCAGCGCGCCCTCCCCGCGCAGCGAGCCCAGCGCCTCGGCCAGGCTGCGGCCCGCGGCGGATGCCTCGGCGCTGTCCTGCTCGGGGAGGTGCCGCGGCGGCGAGGAGCACGAGCAACCAACATCGCATCGGGAAATCGGATCGGGCCCGAAGGGCATCGAATCGGGCCGCATCGGCACTGTATCGAACTCGAACCGGATCGGCTGCGCCAGGATGCGCGACAGCGCCATGCGCCAGGCAGACATCGGGCCGCATCGGATCACCCGAGCATGGGCATCGAATGTCATCGGGCTGGCTGGAGTCGAGATCGAATCGGATCGATCGGACCGAAATGGACCCTGGCCGAAATGGACCCATGGCCGAAATGGACCCTGGAGGGAGGAGGGAGCGGAAAGGCTCACCTCAGCCTCGTCGAGGGCGGGGGAGCCCTCAAAGCAGGGCGGATCTTGTCCATTCCAGGCATTTTCGCCCGGGCTCGGGCCCCGGGACCATCAATGATTTTGCTTCGAGAGATTCCCACCGAAACCTTCGGTGTTTGTTCTCAGCGGTGCGCCAGCTGAATGGAAAGGATGTGCGCGGGGCCCTGCGGTCTTGGCCAGCGCGGCGGCCAGGCCAGGTCGCAAGTTGATGTTTTCCGAAAGTCTAACAACCCTAGGGCTCCTGACGAAAGACACCGAAACAGGTCCCTGGAGCGACAAACCAGCCCCCCAAACGCGTTTTGCGAGACCCCAAGGACAGTTCGGGGAGGATCTGCAGCCTGTTGAAAGAGGAAGAGGAGGAGGAGGAGAAGCAGCAGCAGCAGCACGAGGAGGCGGACGACGATAGCGGCGAAAAGGCGGACCTCTCCTTCCTCCTCCTGCTCCGGACGCCCCGTCCTCTGACGACGGGGCGCATGTCGCGTCTGATGTGACGCCTTGAAGTGGTAGCTGGCGTATATGTTGTGCTGCCTTATGTTTGGCTCGTGTCTGCCCCAGTGAAATGTATGACAATGTGTTATTTGATGTTCTGTTATGGACGGGACGACGTGACGTCGAGACGCTTTTCACGTTTGGTCTGTCTTCTAACTGGTTGTTGCTCCTACTGTATATTTCTGTGGCCAGCCTGGGCTTGGCGCGCGGGAGTGGCGTATGGTAGGCCGCCAGTACTCGGTCTCTGCTGGAGTATACTCTATCACGTTGTGTTCGGTTAGTTGTCTGTTCTATGCGCATCTGTTTGTTTATGTTCTGGTCTCCACGGGGCGGCGCGGCGTCGTGACGCCTGTCGCGTTTGATATGTCGTCTAATCAGTCGTTGCCGCGTCTGTTATTCCCTGTGGTCAGACACGGATGCTGCGTTTGACAGTGCGCCTTTAGTCCGGTGTCCAATCATGATATACTCGATGCGGTTATAGTGTGCGATGATAAGACATCATATGTTTTGCTGTCGACGGGACGGCGTGACGCCTGTCACGTTAGATACGTCGTCCGATGGGTCATTGCTGCGCCTGACATGTGGTCGGGCTGGCCTCGGCACGCACGTCACGTTTCGTGGTGTGTTTGTACGGCATATATGTTATGAAGTTCCTGTTCAAGTTTGTGTTCTCTTGAGTGAAACTATGTTATACCATGCTCACCTCTAGCACAATATGACTTGTTGTGATACGGTACATTGTTTTCTGTGGCCCCACGCTATGACACGCTATGTATGTTACGTCAAGCTACGCTCGGTTGTGTTATGCTATTATCTGTTATGCTGTTCAGGGTATGCCCAGTTCGTTATCGTATAACGCATGCAGCTTCGTCAATCATGCTGAATCTAAACCGCTAGCGTAGGGGTAGCAGTAGTACAACAATTCTGCTCCTGCCAACGAAAACGTCAAAAAACCTCCAACATCGAACCTAACGTTTCCCCCTGCCGAGATCGCCCGTCCGCCACTAACGTTTCCCTTGAGTGGAGGCCTCCCAACTGGGGTCCGACTGGATCGCGCCGCATCGCCAATGCATCGCCGATGCATCGGAGACGTCAGCAGTGCATCGCCGCCGCCGGCGTGGAGAAAATCGGGCTCCACATCGAGCCGCATCGCCGATGCATCGGCGATGCGGCGCGCTCAACGACCCCATCTACTCTAACCCAATCTGGGAGGCGTAGCGCCTGTCCACCCACAACACGACTGGACTTTGATAGTGGTGGAAACCTCTCGGTCACCTGACAGGCCCGAGTAGCAGCAGCGGCGTCAAGATCAGGGCAGTTATCCTTCGGTGCAGGCAGCAGCCAATATTACAATAACAATACACTGAATACATAGATACCTTTCGACGGTCCACGCGGATTTTTTTGGATCTTCGCCAGACCCCCCTCCATGGCACGCGGAGCGCGCCAGGGGCGGCGCCAGAGGCGCCGCCAGGCGGGCCCAGCGAAGATGCAAGAAGTCCGCGCGGACCATCGAAATTCTCTCCTTCGAGATCTTGGTGTTGCTGCCAACCTCCCAGCCTCCTAGAGATCGCCCTTCCGCCCCTGCACGCTGAATCGACGCTGATCGGAACCACATCGGCGGTGTCCCATCGACTACCCGACGCGAGTCCACGCGAGTGCACCCTCAAAAAGCTGAGTCTCGATGGCGCGCGAAGCTCCCATGCTCCCGCTGCCGCAACTCCTCCCTCAGCGGAGGCAGCTGCGGCCTCGAGGCCTCCGAAAGACAGCCCCCCCCCTAAAACAGGGCTACAGGATCGGGATCAATCGCTCCAGAGGCTTCCGGAGCGCTCTCAGAGCGTTCCGGAGCGCTCTGGAGCGGCCGCGGCGCCCAAGACATCCTCCAAACCCGCCGATTCTCAGAGATTTCGAGCTATCCCGATCCGATTTTGTCCCGATCTTCGCGTCGTTTTATCCCCATCCCCCCTTGGAAAGGGAGGCTTGGCATCCCCTGCAATTCCCTGCGCCGTCAGGGGCAGTCTGCCCTCAGCGGAATGCCCTGCCGAACCTCACCCTCCCATCGTCCCATGCTACCCTGCCCACCTCTCCCCCCCTCTGGAAGAGAGGGGTGAACAGAGGAGGCTGACAAGGGTCCGGCTGTCTTACATCGGCATCGCAGCTTGGAGCCCAAAATGATGGCGTTGTCCCGATCCGATTTTGTCCCGATCTTCGCGTCGGTTTTCCCCGGCGCCCCGTGGCGCTGCCCCCGAGACGGTCCGCACCGGCGGCCAGCCCCGGCGCGAGCGGCGGCGCGGGCGCGGCCAGCTGGGCCATGCTGCCGTGCCGTTGGGGGCCCCGCCGCGGCGCGGAAAACCCCCTCCGGGCGCCCGGCCGCAGCCCGCGGCCAAGATATGGGGCCCGAGGCGGGAGGGGAGAGGAGAGGGCGCAGGCACTCCCCCTCGGCCAGGGCGTGGCGACTGTACACCCTGCGAAATGCTTTTCAGAAATCATGGGTTAAGAGATTCATAGCCTCAGAGCATAGAAGAAATCATGGGTTAAGAGATCCATAGCCTCAGAGGCGGGCGGAGAGAGGAGGGCGCAGACACTCCCCCTCGACCAGCGGCTGCAACGCGCAAGGCAAAAAAAAACTTTACAGGTAAAAAAGATGTTTTTTGCCTGTGGTGTTTTTTTTTTGCCTTGCGCGTCGGGTCCCCGGGGCACTGGCCGGGGCGCGCGCGCCGGGCGGGGGGGTGCTCCTCCGCTTCCCTCGGCCTGGCTCACAAAAGGAATCGCGACCAGGGTTTTTGCCTGTGGCGCTCCTGGGGCCCAAAGAAGGAATCGCGACCTGGGTTTTTGCCTGTGGCGCTTTTTTTTTGCCTTGCGCGTCGGGCCTCCGGGTCTTGCCGAGAGCGCGCGCGTGTAGAGGAAGTGCTCCCCTGCTCTCCTCCGCGTCAGTGGCGCTCCTGAAGCCCAAAGAAGGAATCGTGACCTGGGTTTTTGCCTGTGGCGTTCTGGGGCCCAAAGAAGGAATCGTGACCTGGGTTTTTGGCCTGTGGCGTTTTACTTTCGCCTGCGCGCTCGGGCCGGGCGGACGGAGGTGCCATGCGGACGCAGCCACTGGAGCCTTCGGTGGAGCTGCATATGGGGCCACGACCCGTGTGAGGGGTGTGAGGAGATATGGTCGGGCATGCGGTGAAAGTGCTGACGATGACGGGAGGGGGGAGGAGGAGGAGGAGGAGGAGGAGGAGGAGGAGGAGGAGGAACGCGGGGGACTGAACGCTGGAGGCCGATGCGAAGTACTAAAGATGAGGCGGTGTATTAGGAGAGGGACGACGACAAAGAGGACGAGAAGGAAGAGAAGGAGGAGGAGCAAGAGGGGGGGCGCAGGAGGAGGAGGCAGAGGAGAAGGAGGCACAGAACGAGGACGAAGAGGAGGACGAGAACTCTCACGGGCGGGGCGGGACGGGGCAGACCCTAGCAGGCGGGTCGGGCGGGCGGACCCTAACGGGCGGCTGGGGACAGGCGGGCGGGACACTAAAGTCTGATACATATACGGCATGACGCATGAGAACCCTAACGGCCCGGGCGGGACGGGCGGACCCTATCGGGCGGGTCGGGCGGGCGGACCCTAACGGGCGGGTCGGGTCGGGCGGGCGGGACACTAAAGTCTGATGCGCATACAGCGTGACACATGAGAACCCTAACGGGCGGGACGGGACGGG